CCGAATAACACCTGAACAAGAAACCTGCCTCACCCAGTCTCAGCTTCTAGGGAGCCCACCTAGAACAGTGTGGGAAGCATCTGGCACTGTGCCCAGCATACGGTGAATGCTCCGTAAGTTTTACATGATTATTATCGCTTTTATTAATTATTATTATGTTTTTTATCCTCACCTGAGGACATTTTTGCATTTATCTTCAGATACAGCAGGAGGGAGAGAGGGGTAAAGAGAGAGAGAGAGAATCATCAATGTAAGAGACACATTGACTGGCTGCCACCCACACAACCCCAACCATGGCTGGGGACAAACTGCAACCGAGGTACGTGCCCATAGTGGGAACTGAACCCGGGACTCTATGGTCTGTGGGCCGATGCTCTAACCGCTGAGTCAAACTGGCCATGGCATTAATTATTTTTAATTGTCAATAAAAATAAATATATTTTTATTGATTTTAGAGAGAAAGAGGGGAAGAGAGAGGGGGAGAGAGAGAGACATTGATGTGAGAAACATTGATCTGTTGCTTCCTGTGTGTGCCCTGACCAGGTAACGAACCAACTGAGCCACTGCCTTTATATTTATCCTCAAGGATGAGACTGATGTGCCTGTAAGACTTTTGAGGGCCAGGACTGAGTACATTCAGCAGAATGTCTGGCTGCCGGTTAGAAGTATGATGTAGTCCATGTTCATGGATAGGACTATTCAGTATGTCAGTTCTTCCTAACTTGATTTATAGATTCAACACAATCTCAATAAAAATTTCAGCAAGTTATTTTGTGGATATTGATAAACTGATCCTAGAGTTTCTATGCAGAGGCAGAGGCTCAGAATAACCAGCCCAATATTGAAGAAGAATATTTGCTACCCTACTTTGGGACTTACTATAAAGCCATAGTTATCAAGACAGTGTGGTGTCAGTGAAGGAGTAAGCCAATGGAAATGGAACAGAATAGAGAGCCCAGAAATAGACCCACCAAATATAGTCAGCTTATCTTCGCCGAAGGTGCAAAAGCAATTCAGTGGAGAAAGCAGAGTCTTTCAGAAGTATGATGGAGAAGCCCATACTTACCTGGGGAGGAGACAAAGGGAAATGGTCAGGATGACGTAGTGGAGGTGAGCAGTCCTGGCTGAGGAAGATGGGTGGCTGCAGCCCTCACCTGGGACAGGGCTGGCCGGCCTCCAAAGGATGCTCGCTTTCATTGACGGGAAAGACCGTGCACGGATGATCAGGGCCATTTGCATCATTAGGGTGGCTGTTGATATTTCATTGTCTTTCTGTCTCCCAGGTTTCTGTCTGTCTGTCTGACTGTGTGTATGTGTGTTTGCATCTCCTCTGTTCATGTCTGGTGTCTCTGTCCCCCTTTTATCCTGTTTGGGTGTCTGATTGCGTTGGTCCATAACTGTGTGTGTCTCTCTCTGTGTCTCCTTCCCCCGTATCTGTGTGTGTGTGTCTCTGTGTCTCCCTCCCCATGTCCCATTTCCAGTTCTGTCCCTGTGTGGGTCCCCATCTCCCTCTGTCCCTACCTCTTTCAACAACTATTTATTGGGCTCCATGTGTACCACCATTTCTGCTTGAGACGGGGATACAGGGGCGAGGAAAGGAGCATCTGGGGACGTCTCTGAATCCACGGCTCACACCAGTGGCCACCTGCCCCTGGTCACTGTGGGGCGGGAGGGGCTGGGTCTGTATACTAGAAGGAGTCGGAGGGTTTCCTGTGAGTTGGTAGTGATCGGGCTGAGACTGGAAAGGAGAATTTGGAGCTCACCAGGCTAAGGGCGTTCCTAGCAGAACCAACAGCATGTGCTAATGTCTGGGGTGCGACCCCCTGGAGGTTCCGAGGTGGGGCCAGTGTGGCTGGAGCATGGAGGGTGAGGGCGCAGGGGTTGACCCTGGGCCTTGGTTCTTAGTCATAACAGCACTGGGACACCATCGAACGTATCTGCATTTCATCAAAAGGGCTCTGGGTAACCTCTGGCTGTTTCAGCAGACCAGGCGAGCTGTAACAGTGGGTGACCTTGGGAATGGGTGGATATTGACAAACTCGAGCAATTCGAAAGTAGAATGGATATGACTTGGTAATTGCCTGGAGACAATAATGTTACATTATCTGACTTTTTTTTTTTTAGTTACATCTGTTAAGGAAGGTCTTAATAAATTCTCCTGCTTTTTTGTTTTACTATTTTTTTGTTATTGATTTTAGAGAGAGAGGAAGGGAGAGGGACAGAGAGAAACATCGCTGGGAGAGTGGAACACGCATTGGCCGCCTCCTGCATCCCCCCCACTGGGGATCGGACCCACAACCTAGACATGTGCTCTGACTGGGAATCGAACTGGCGGCCTCTCAGTTCATGGGTTGATGCTTAACCACAGAGCCATGCTAGCTGGGCGATTTCTCCTGCTTTTAAAAAAATATTTTTATTGATTTTTAGAGAGAGAAACATCGATGTGAGAGTGGAACATGGATTGGCCACCTCTTGTACACCCCCCACCAGGGATCAAGCCCACAACCTGGGCATGTGCCCTCCCAGGAATCGAACCGGAGACCTTTTGGTGTGTGGGATGATGCCCAAGCAACTGAGCCACACCTGTCAGGGCCCAAATTTTTATTATAATGTTGCCGCAAAGAAAATAGCTCACAGTAGGCTAGTTCAAACACTCCCCCTTAGAGATATTTTATTTTTTATTTATTTTAAACATGTTTTTATTGATTTTTTTTTTTTTAAGAGAGAAAGGAAGAGAGAGATAGAAACACTGATGTAAGAGAGAAACATCAATCAGCTGCCTCCTGCATGCCTCCTACTGGGGACTGAACCCCAAACCTGGGCATTGAACCAGGACCCCTCAGTACATGGGATGGTGCTCAGTCCACCGAGTCACATAGGCTAGGGTCCTCTTAGAGATATTTTAAGTGGAAAGAAATGGTTAGGGCCATGGCTGGTTTGGCTCAGCAGTAGAGTGTCGGCCCATGGACCAATGAGTCACGGGTTCAATTCCGGTCAAGGGCATATACCTTGGTTGCAGTTCATCCCCCGCCCTGGGCCCTGGTCGGGGTCATGTGGGAGGCAACTGGTAGATGTGTCTCTCTCACATTGATGTTTCTCTCTTTCTTTCTTTTCCTATCTCTTTCTCCCTCCCACTCTACCTGAAGATAAATAGAAAAATATCCTCAGGTGAGGATTAAAAAAAAAAAGAACTGGTTAGATAATCATTGTTGGATTACATAGAAGAAAAAGAATATTTGCTTGAAGTCACTAGACTCTTGGTCAGCTGGGTGGGTGAGTAATTTCTGAGAACAAATGTTAATGTCTTTCATGTTTTTAGGTAATTGCAAAAGCAGTTAAATTAGCAATGCTAATTCCCTTCTAGGAGGTTGTGAATTTCAGAACCTACAAGGGATCTGTGTTGTTGTTTGTTTGGAAGATAAAGAGAAGAGATAAGACTCCCAGGTCTCAGGGTTGGATGAAGAATGGGGATGTGACCCCCCACCCTTCCACCTGCCCAAGGTTTATAGATACTATCACTCCTCCCAGTAATAGGGCTACTCGTAGTTGATCACTGGTTTTCAAAACTTTGTTTTGAAACAATTTTAGATTCCTGCAGACATTGAGAACATAGTACGGTTCATCTCCGTACTGTTCATCCGGCTTCCCCTAGTGGTAACGTCTTTCATCACCGTAGTTATCAAGCCCAGGAAACTGATACTTGACAATATTATGAAATATACTACGGACCTTAATAGGTTGTCACCCCCTTTTAGATGCAGTTGCTTTTTGTTTTGTTTTTGTGTTGGTGTGCATTCTATGGAATTTTATCTCACGTATAGATCTGCGGAACCTTCCTCACACACAGGATGCAGAACACGTGCTGTTTATTTCGAGTCTTTTCACGTTACTTCGTGACTGGGGTCTCCTAAAGTGTTTTCAATCTAGCTGGATCCTGGTCAGGAAGCAGAAAACGTAGTTCATTCCATCCTCCTCCCGCGATGCCGTTCTCTGCACCTGCGCTCCTGTTCTACTGTGAATGGCCGGGACCTTTCCCGCTATTCCAACCCTGACTCTACAGTGTCTCTGTTCACTTCCTAGACTTTGTCTGCCTTCTTCCTCGATCCTAGGTCAAAGCCGAGCTCTCCTTCCCGCCCCCCTCTTTCCCAGCAACACCTCTTTCTCCTGTTTCTTTGTTCAGTGTCGGCACTGAGATACAGGTACCAGGACTCTTAGCGTTGCCAGGGACAGAGATCACGTCACACTGACCTAAGCACAAAGGAGAGTGTATTAGGTCGTGTACGGAGCGTGTTCCAGGGCAGAGTGGCCTCAAGCCCGACTGGGCCCAGGGTTTCCAGTGGTGCATCAGGGCGCCGTCTGTTCTTTCTGCATGGCAGGGGACACCGTCTCTGCTCCCCCAGACTCAGGTCCTATCAGCCAGGCAGCGGCAGGAGCAATGGTGTGAATATCTCTGGCCAGTTAAGTCCTAGACGGTTCTGATGGGCCTCATTTGGGCCGTGTGCTCATCCCTGAACGAATCACTGTGCCAAGGGTGGGCACCTTGGTCATTCCCAGGACCTTGGACTTATCTTTGGCTTCTTGTGGTGGGAGGTTAAGAGGGATGGATCAGCTTTATCTGAAGCACCTGGAATGTGTCCATCCCAGGAAAAGGTGCTTTTTTTTTTTTTTTTTTTTTGACAAACTCAAGTTTGTCTCTGTACCAGCACACAGTTCACTGGTCATCCCCTGGGGAGGACGGGATCTCTCTGGGTCAAGTGGACTTCCTCTGTGTCTCTGTTATCTATCTGTTGCTGTAGAATTATTCCAGTCCTTAGTGGCTATCGGCATTCTGTGTATCTCACGCGGTCCCGCGGTCCGGGCCGGCTGAGGGGCTGGGGTGGCGCGTTTTCATTCTGGAGGATGAAGGCGCTGGCCTGTGCGTCTGGGGTGCAGGCACAGGGCCGCGTCCTCAGGCAGAGGGAACGCCGGCTTTTCATTGGTCCCTGTTAATTTTCTTCTAGTGGACATCATGGAAATAAAGGAAATCCGCCCAGGGAAGAGCTCCAAGGATTTCGAGCGCGCCAAAGCCGCCCGCCAGCAGGAGGACTGCTGCTTCACCATCTTGTACGGCACCCAGTTCGTCCTCAGCACGCTCAGCGTGGCCGGTGGGTGCGCGTCGGGTGCTTTCCTCCTCCCTGCGCCTCGGTTTCCTTCTGGGGCATTCTCTGGTAGCAGGATGCTCATGCCTGTCTTCCCACTGATGCATGTTTGGGGGCATTGTGGTTTTGAACCCCAACCCTGCCCCTGCCCCTTTCTTGCCTTTGGGCAAGCTACTGACCCCCCGGAGGTGCTGGCCGCTCAGCTGTGAAGTGGGAGAGTCCTCATGCCGGCCTCGGCGTGTTGTAAGGGTCATGGTAAGGGCCTGCCTGGCTCGTGCTGAGAGCTAACGACAGGTCACATTTTTGTCCAGCAGAGTGTGACCTCACCATTTTTTCACCTAACTGATCTGAAGGAACTGTCCTGAAATCTCATGTCTCAAACAAGTAAACATGCACGCACACGTATGCACACATACGCACGTATGCATGCATACATGTACATGCAGACACATGTACCTGGAGGGGAGGTTTCTGATATCCCTGTGAACCCACCAAAAGCTAGAGAGACTCTGAGAGGCCAGAAAAAGAGCTGCGACAAAGCTCAGGCCCTTCCTCAGGAGCAGAAGCTTGGAGCTACCTTCAGGTCCAGTCCTAGAACCTTCTGACCTTGAACTATATGTACAGTCATGACCGAGAGAGAAGATAAATACCATTAAAAGTAGACCAAAGCCCTGGCCGGTGTGCTCAGTGGATAGAGCCTTGGCCTGTGGATCAAAGGGTCACGGGTTCGATTCCCGGTCAAGGGCACGCACCTGGGTTGCAGATTCTATCCCTGGTCCCAGCTGGGGTCACGCAGGAGGCAGCCAGTCAATGTGTCTCTCTCTTATCGATATTTCTCTCTCTCTTTCCCTCTCTCTCTTCCACTCTATCTAGAAATCAATGGAAAAATATACTCAGGTGAGGATTAAAAAAAAAAAAAGGTACATCACAGTTGGGGAAGCTTTGAAAGGTGACCACTGTTAGGGACACTTCATTTAGGGCCGAAGAGCTGTCATTGACGTAATTTGCCATCGATCGTTTTCTTCCGTCAGGCATCTTTGAGCACAGGCTCGGAGCTGGATTGTGCTAGAAGTCAGTGGGCTCTCAAGGTGAATAAGGCTCTTGCTGCCTTTAAGGAGTTCACGGTCTGTCTGGGAGATAGACGTGTGGGCAGGAACTTGCAGGACCGTGTGGTAAGAGCAATAGTCCAAGCACAATAAAGTGTGCTGAGGAGTGGAGAGTGTCTAATTCCAGGGCAGGCTTTGTAGAGGAAGGAGGTGACTTTTAAATTTTCTTTCTTTCTTTATGTATTTATTTAATCCTCATCTGAGGATACTTTTCCACTTATCGTTAGATAGAGTGGGAAGGAGGGAGAGAGAGAGAGAGAAACATCAACATGAGAGGGACACACTGACTGGTTGCCTCCCACACAACCCCGACCAGGGCTGGGGACCGAACTACAACCGAGGTTTGTACCCTTGACTGTAATCAAACCCTCGACTCTTAGGTCCGTGGGCCAATGCTTCAACTGCTGAGCCTAACCGGCCAGGGTGGAAGGAGGTGACTTTTAACCAGGGTTTTGAGGCATCAGTAGGAGTTGGGAGGAAAGGAGGAGGATGGTCCAGGGGGAGGGCATTGCATATACGGGGTGGGGCAAAATAGGTTTACAGGAAGCAGAGTTTATTCTTGTTTTATTTATTAACTATTGTATTATTTTCCACATGAACAACTGTAAATCTACTTTTGCCCCACCCTGTGTAAGGGTTTGAAGGAGGGAACTAGCAGCCCAGGTGTGGGGAATAATGAGTGTAGGTCTGATTGATGGTGTGTGGCAGGTGGCAGAGATGGGGCAGGAGAGAGGGGCTTGTGACTGAACCTTCAGAGCTGTGTCCCCTGAGCCCCACCTCAGACCGAGCCTGGCTACTGTTCTTGGTAGGGAGACCATGAGAACCCAAGCAAGACTCGGAGCCCAGGATAACAGTCTGTCCCTCTCCGGGGTCCCTCTTCCAGAGCTCTGGAATTCAAGGTCAGCTAGAGAGATGGGCAAGACTTAGGTTCCTGTCCCAGCTTCTCATTCTTGGCTCTGGGACAGGTCTCTCAACCTTCTGAGCCTCGGCTTTCTCCTCCTTAGCATGAGAGTAACGAGAGCAGCAGTGTGGCACGGTCTTGTCTGGACTAGCAAGATGCCTGGTGGTTAGGAGATGTTTAATAACTCGACCAGGTGTTTGCATTGCGAGCTCCGTTTCACACACGAGGAAGTGAGGCACAGAGGGGTTAAGTAACCAGCTGAATGTCACACAGCCCTAAAGTGGTGCAGCAGGACTTGGCATTGATGCCAAGCTCTTAACCGCCGCTTGTTTTGGCTTCCCTGTGGGCATCAGCAGTGCCAATCTCTCTGGCCTTGGCTGGAAATGGGAAATGCCGAGGGCTGCTCAGGACTCTGGTTCCGGTTATTCCAGACCCTGCGTCTTAGTCGTTAGCATAAGGTTAAAAGCTAAGTCTCTTTTTTTTATCCTCATCCGAGGACATTTTTGTTCAGATAGAGTGGGAGGCAGGGAGAGAGAGAGAGAAACATCGATGTGAAAGGGACACATCGAGTGGTTGCCACGCTCACGACCCAACCAGGGCCAGGGACAAACTGCAACCGCGGTACGTGCCCTTAGCGGGAACCAAACCCCGGTCCTGAACCCGGGTCTCTCTGGAGCATAGGCCGACACTCTAACTGCTGAGCCAAACCAGCCAGGGCACTAAGTCTTTTTTTAAATTGCCTACTTATCACCTCTGCTGTAGAAGGCTCATAAGGGGCACGTGGCCTCCTATCAGACCAGAGCAGCTCTTAGAACCATGAACGAGGGTCTGAAGGAGATGCTGTCTAGGTCCCCTCCTGCAAAACGACTCATTGGCACGGGCTTCTCCCTCCCCACCGTCTGGCTGGTATGCGGAGGCTGGGAGCCAGGGTCTGAGCGGTGGTCTTCCAGAGCGTGGCACAGCATTTCGGTTTCTGTTCGTCTCTCCAGCTGACTCCAAGGAGGATGCAACCAAGTGGCTCGCTGGCTTGAAAATCTTACACCAGGAAGCGATGAGCGCGTCCACACCCACCATTATCGAGAGGTACTGGCTCGTGCCCGTTGATCTCTGTCTTCGCTCACTCATTCATTCTGTTCCCTTTAGCCAGCACGGGTGAGGGAAAGAAACGAGACATTGGATCATGGAGGGACCTTGAGTGTCCTGGACGCAGGAGGTGCCCAGGAGTGGCTGTGGACTCTCCAGTTGACCCACAGGAGAGGCTCTCTTGGTCTGGGGCCTCGGTCTCGGCGTGGATGTCTGGCTGGAGTCGTCACCCCAGTACACCAAAGCCCTCTGATTCCCGCCGCTTTTCTGACCATCTTTTTTGGGATTACGGATTTCAGAGGGGATCACCAGTTTAAAAAATGCCAGCCTCTTCAGGCTGAAGGGGCCTCTTGGCTCAGCGAGGGCATTTTGGCCACGAGGAGGAAACTGCTTTCCAAGTTAGAAAGTTGGAAATCCCCCCCGTCCCCAGTGTCCTTTGTCCCTGTCCCATAGAACTTGGACTTGTACTATTTTCTAACTTTCTTTCTCTCTCTCTCTCTTCTTGTTTCAACTCTTCCCAGCTGGCTGAGGAAGCAGATTTATTCGGTGGATCAAACCAGAAGAAACAGGTGAGATTCCTTCCCATTTGGTGGTTTTCTCCAGATCATTGTGGACTCGGATTTTCATTCTTTAAGTTCTAAGGGGCTTGGCCAGATCACGTTTTGTGCTGCGGAAAGGTCCTCATGAGGTCGGATTTAATCTACAACCTGCCCGACGCCGTGCTAGGTGCTGGGGGTGGCTGGCGACCAAATCTCCCCTCGGGGAGCCTCCTTCCAGGGGAAAGTTCGAGTCCATATGCAGAGAGGAACCCTCTGCACAGAGCTTTTGGACCTCGTCTTTTCGGCCTTTGCATTTGAGCACCTTCTGTGTCCTGGGGAGAAACGGGGTCGCCATGGTGACTGCAGCCCTTACTTTGTGGTGGGAGAGACCGGCCGGATAGAAGTAAATCGACTTAAATAGTGATGGTTCTAAGGCTGGGCAGATGTGAGATGGTGACGAGATAGCATGTAGTTCGGTGGCCTTGACCTGTTCACGTCTTGGAGTGGTTCTGTCAGCACACGCCGAGCGCTGTACCAGGTACTTTTGTAACAGACGTGGTCTGTCCTTGGATGAAGGCAGTGTCATTTTCTTACTGGGGAGAGATGATTTCCTTTTTGATGGATACAGAGTTGTCCCTGGTCTTTTATTATCTTTGTGAACAATGTTGCTGTAAAACCTTTGGATCTAGACACCCTTTTGTTAACTTGTGTGAGCAGGATATGATCAGGGTAACATCCTGGAGGAGGAACTCCTGCAGCCGGGTGTTTACGGTGCAACATTTTGAGAGGTGGTAGCAGGTGTATTCTTCTACCAGCGGTGCGGGAGAGCGCCCGTTTCCTGCGCCCTGTATCCCCGGACTCTGACTCCTGTTCATCCGATGGGTGAAACGCTTAAATGTGCACTCTTTTACTGAAGGGTGAGGTGGAACATCCTCTCGCCCGTTTTTCCTTAGGCACGGGCCAGTTCTTATTAATAACCTAATGATAAAAACGACCATCTGTTGAGTATGCCAGGCACTGTGCTAAGCACATTATAATCATTGTCTCATTTTAGCCTCGCAGCAGACCCTGTTTCAATTTTTAAATGTTTTTCCTCCCCTCCATTATGATATGTCACTGTCACATGCGAGGCCATGACTAACCTCTGCTCCCCTCCCTCGTGTTCCTGAGAGTCCTCCCATCTCCAGGGCACCTCCGTGTCAGGCCCGTGTCCCCGGTCAGCTCGCTGATCTCAGAGATCAGCCATCCTTCCGCGCTCTTCCCGCACACGCCTGATGGCCTGATGGGTCAACAGTCACCGTGAAGTGCTGAAAAGCTTGTAATGTCAGGTCAGCCAGCAGCACATTCCATGGCCCTCTGTCCGACCGTCTTTCCCACCCTCCTCCTCACCCAGCATCCAGTCTGCAGCCCCACGCCCTGGGCCATGCTCCTGTGTCACAGAGGCAGGTCAAACGAGGTCCCTGCGTTGGAGGATTTTGTGCACACTGGTCTCTTTCAGCCCCAGAGGTGGTGCTTCCTATGAGTGTTTCCTTTCTCTGTGGCTTAGGGGTGACTCATAGTTGAGATTGGCACAGGGGTGGCAGGTGGAGCCTCCTGGGCCCTCTCTTCATGCCGTGGTGGTACAGGGCTGTGGATTGTGTTCCGGAGTCTGTGTCTCCATCTTCTGTCGTCAGGAAACGTCTCTCTTGCTCAGAATGGATTCTCGCAAGTCCTTCTGAGAGAACCGTCTTCCCATCAGCTGGTCCAGAAGCTTCAGCGGAGAGGAAGTCTGTTTCTGGACTTGATTCCTCATTCCTTGCTGACCCTTCCCTCTCCCCAACCGCCCTCCCAGTGGGCAGAGCCCGCTGTCTGTCAACATGTGGAAAATCCCACCTTTCCTGTGGTTCTGTGAGGCCGCGAGGGAGTTTCTCAAAAGGAACTTGGACCGAGGAGCCAATGAAAGGGCAGCTGACTTCTGTTCTGCCAGTGTCCCCTCCTTTCCTGTCACCCACGACTAGTCGCCTTTCCTGAAGGAAAACAAAGGAGCACCAGCAGCAAAGGAAAGACTCCAGGCGACAGGAGACAGGCTCCGAGCTGGCGCTGTGCGGGCAGTGCCCGGTGCCCGGGCGTTTTCCTGGGCCTGAGCACCGCGTTCCTTTTCATCATCTCTAGAGACAAAATGGTAGCAGTTGGTGTTTGGTGAGAACTTGCTTTGCAGCAGCCGTGGTGCTGAACCCTTGATGTCCTGATGGCGTGGCCTCGGGCTGCTGAGCGCCCTGCCCTTCGCTCCATTGTATGAGGTCAAGTTCAGTAACTTGTCTGCAGCAGCCCACCTTGTCGGGGTGGCAGCAGGGTTTCAGGCTCACCCATCAGTACATGATGTTGCCTTTCCTTTTTTTTTTTTTTAATTGTGCTCTTGAAAGCTGGGAAAAGGCAAAAATATTTCCTTCCCCCACGCGGACCTATACAGATATTATTTAGTTTGTTTTATGGTGGTGAAATATACATATGCAGAAAATTTATCACAGGCTTCCTCTCTGCTAAGGTTCTGCACCAGGTGCCAGAAAGACAGACCTCTGCAGGACTTGCAGGCATCCGTCTGAGCAGGTGTGCACTTCAGTAAGGTCAAGTGCATTCATTCTGTGCACACGTCACCACCATCCGTCTCTAGAATCCTCAGCTTGTAAAACTGAAACTCTGTCCTATTGAGCAATACATCCCTATTCCTCCTCCTCCCGGCCTCTGCTGACCTCTATTCTGCTTTCTGTCGCAGTGCCTTTGCTCTGGTTATCTCATGTGGGTAGAATCCTACAGTTTTTTTTTTTATCCTCACCCGAGGACATTTTTCCATTTTTTGTTCAAATAGAGTGGGAGGGAGAGAGAGGAAGAGAGAGAGAAACATCAACGTGAAAGGGACACATCAAGTTGTTGCCACCCGCACGACCCAACCAGGGTTGGGGACAAACTGCAACCGAGGTATGTGCCCTTAGCAGGAACTGAACCCGGGTCTCTCTGGACTGCAGGCCGATGCTCTAACCGCTGAGCCAAACTGGCCAGGGCGAATCCTACACTTTTTGTCTTTTTATGACTAGCTTGTTTCACTCAGCATGTCCTCAAGATTTGTTTGAGTTCTTTTTCTTTTTACTCCTCACCCAGGATTAGGTTTATTGATTTGAAAGAGCGAGAGAGAGAAATTGATGTGAGAGAGGAACACCTATCAGTTGCTTCCTGTACCTGCCCTGATCAAGAATTGAACCCGCAACCTAGGTATATGCCATGACCGGGAATTAAACCCACACCCTTTTGGTGTACGGGACAATGCTCCAACCAACCGAGCCACCTGGCCAGGGCAGAATTTCTTTCCTTTTTAAGGCCGAATAGTATTTCACTGTATGTATAGACCATATTTTGTTTATTCGTTCCTCCGTTGGTGGACCCTTGGATTACTTCCCCCTGTTGGCTATTGTGGGTATTGTTGCTGAGAACATCAGTGTTGGAGTTCTGCTTCTGATTCTTTTGTGCATTACCCAGAAGTGGAATTACTGTATCAAATGACAGACTGCCTATGGTTTCCATAGCAACCACAACTGTTTTCCATTCCCACCAGCAATGCACAAGGGTTCCCTTTTTTCCCCCACTTCCTTGCCAACTCTTATTATTTTCTTTCTTTCTAACAGCCATCCCAGTTGTTGTGAAGTTGTATCTCATATCGCCTTTTGGTTTTGATTTGCATTTTCCTAATGGCTAGTGACGTTGAGCATCTTTTCATAAGCGTTTTGCCATTTGCTTATCTTCTTTGGAGAAATGTCTATTCAAGTCCTTTGCACATTTTAAAATTTTACATTATGGTTTTAATCCTTATTCAACTTCCAGGCTCTGTCCTTGGGCTGGGTTCTACACAACCTTTTAGTTTTCATTTTCACACTTTCATTTATTGTTTTCTTTTTTTAAAAAAAAAATGCACATGGATTTAAAAAAAAATCCTCATCCAAGAATATTTGTCCATTTATCTTCAGATAGAGTGGGAGGGAGAGTGAAACATCAATGTGAGAGAGTAACATTGATTGGCTGCCTCCAACATGCCCCCTATTGGGGATTGAGCCTGAAACCCAAGCATGTGCCCTGAGTGGGAATAGAACTGGCCACCTCTTGGTGTATGGGGTGATACTTAACCAACTGAGCCACACTGGCCAGGACTTTCTGTTCTGGACTTTTTTTTCTTTTTAATAAATGGAAACACAAAGTTTATTAGATAGCAGAGCCCAGTGCCAAATGACTTTAGGACAACACATTTCTCTAAGAGTTTGGAGAAGGAAGTGATGATGTGGGTTGGAGTGCTTTGGGAAATCTTTAAGAACTGAGGAGGAATTTGATTTGGGCATTTCAGTCTGGGTAGGAATTAGATATCTAGAGAAGATGATGAGGTCCTCCTGACATCTTTCTGGGTGTTGGTCCAGTCGGGTGGTCTTTGCACTCTTTCTGTTATTCATTGGTTGGTAGTTTAAGGTGTTCTCTAAATTTTCTCAGGCTCCATTGTGTGTCTATGCTTCTTGTGCTTTCTTTATCTTTTTAGAAATTTAAATTATTTCCTTTTTCAATTTCAGTTGACATATAATACTATATTAGTTTCAGGTGTACAGCCCAGTGAGTGGACATTTATATAACTTACTAAGTGATCATCCCAATAAATCTTGCACCCATCTGACACCATACATAGTTATTAGAATCTTATTGACTGTGTTCCCTCTGCTGTACTTTTCGTCCCCATGACTGTTCTGTAACGACCAGTGTGTACTTCTTAATCCCGTCACCTTTTTCACCCATTCCCCTAACACTCCCCTCTCATCTGGCAGCCATCAAAATGTTCTCTGTAACTGTGAGTCTGTTTCTGTTCTGCTTGTTTGTTTTGTTTTTTGGATTCAATTATTGATAGGTACGTATTTATTGCCATTTTATTGTTTATATTTTTTTCCTTTATTGATTTTACACAGAGAGGAAATGAGAGGGAGAGATAGAAATATCGATGAGAGAGAACATCGATTGGCCGCCTC